ATTTTTTAGGATACAATAGGCTTTACCACACCACATTAAAACCCAAATCCATCTCAGCCTTTAAAATAATCTTCCCTTTGATCCCGTTGTGCCACATCATCAGGTGTACCAAACACTCAGTACGCCGCGACATACCAGATCATAGCTCAGCCCATCCAGACCGTCCGATCAACTTCCAGGTCAAGCCAATTACAGCCGCACGATCAGCTCATCCACGATCCAACGGTTTAGCAGGAGGAGGATTTCTGGTGATGGTAGGCGGTGCAGTTGTATATTTAAAATTTTGCACAATCCGTGATTACTTGCACAATCCGTGATTCCTTGTCCCCTGTCATTGGCTATAAATAGCCAATGAAACCAAGCCAACAAAAAAGAAAAAAAGAAAAGAAAAGAAGAGTAATCTGAATCGAGAGCTTACTATTTGTGTTACTATTTGCAACTGTTCATTTTATTTTCTACTTTTTCTTCACGCGAGTAAAATATTGATTTAATTTTTTTTTTGAAAAATATCAAAAATATCTTAACCGTTAGATCTAATAGTGTTTAAATCTGGGACTTTGATTTAATAGGATATAATAGGGCTTACCATAGTGGAATAAAATCCAAATCCATCTCAACCCTTAAAATAATCCGCCCTTCGATCCTGTTGTGCCACGTCATCAAGTGTACCTCAGGTGTACCAAACACTCAGTACACCGCAACATACCAGATCATAGCTCATCCACGATCAGCTCATCCACGATCCAATGGTTTACAGCGTTCAGACGCATCGGTGCACTATATGCGCGTTCACACGGTAGCAAAGCTCAATGTCTCTCTCTCCTCTCGCTGGCGATTCTCTCTCTCTTCTTCGATCTTCCATTTCTGGTCGTTTTAAGCCGCCAAACCACCACAGAAAGGTGCATCGCCTCCTCTGAAGCAAAACCCCAGCTGTTTTACACGTTTTCACTGCCAAATCTGGCCGGAAAAAGGCCGCGACAGAATCGGCCAACCAGAGCTTCAAGTCGATGACTCTCCTTCATCAACCATCAATGGCCGTCGAGACCACCACCATCAGAATCCTCGCCCTCAGATCTACCAGAATCTACTATTTGTTTGTTGGAATCTTGCCGAAAAATTTCGCCGCCTCCAACAGAGTTCATTTTATTTTCTACTTTTTCTTTACGCGAGTAAAATATTGATTTTTTTTAAAACAATTTGAAAAATACCAAAAATATCCTAACAGTTAGATCTAATAGTGTTTAAATCTGGGCCTTTGATTTTTTAGGATACAATAGGCTTTACCACACCACATTAAAACCCAAATCCATCTCAGCCTTTAAAATAATCTTCCCTTTGATCTCGTTGTGCCATGTCATCAGGTGTATCAAACACTCAGTACACCGCGACATACCAAATCATAGCTCAGCCCATCCAGACCGTCCGATCAACTTCCAGGTCAAGCCAATTACAGCCGCACGATCAGCTCATCCACGATCCAACGGTTTAGCAGGAGGAGGATTTCTGGTGATGGTAGGCGGTGCAGTTGTATATTTAAAATTTTGCACAATCTGTGATTACTTGCATAATCCGTGATTCCTTGTCTCCTGTCATTGGCTATAAATAGCCAATGAAACCAAGCCGACAGGGGGGAGAAAAAAAGAAAAGAAGAGTAATCTGAATCGAGAGCGTACTATTTGTGTTACTATTTGTCACTGTTCATTTTATTTTCTACTTTTTCTTTACGCGAGTAAAATATTGATTTTTTTTAAAACAATTTGAAAAATACCAAAAATATCCTAACAGTTAGATCTAATAGTGTTTAAATCTGGGCCTTTGATTTTTTAGGATACAATAGGCTTTACCACACCACATTAAAACCCAAATCCATCTCAGCCTTTAAAATAATCTTCCCTTTGATCCCGTTGTGCCACATCATCAGGTGTACCAAACACTCAGTACGCCGCGACATACCAGATCATAGCTCAGCCCATCCAGACCGTCCGATCAACTTCCAGGTCAAGCCAATTACAGCCGCACGATCAGCTCATCCACGATCCAACGGTTTAGCAGGAGGAGGATTTCTGGTGATGGTAGGCGGTGCAGTTGTATATTTAAAATTTTGCACAATCCGTGATTACTTGCACAATCCGTGATTCCTTGTCCCCTGTCATTGGCTATAAATAGCCAATGAAACCAAGCCGACAGGGGGGAGAAAAAAAGAAAAGAAGAGTAATCTGAATCGAGAGCGTACTATTTGTGTTACTATTTGTCACTGTTCATTTTATTTTCTACTTTTTCTTTACGCGAGTAAAATATTGATTTTTTTTAAAACAATTTGAAAAATACCAAAAATATCCTAACAGTTAGATCTAATAGTGTTTAAATCTGGGCCTTTGATTTTTTAGGATACAATAGGCTTTACCACACCACATTAAAACCCAAATCCATCTCAGCCTTTAAAATAATCTTCCTTTTGATCCCGTTGTGCCACGTCATCAGGTGTACCAAACACTCAGTACACCGCAACATACCAGATCATAGCTCATCCACGATCAGCTCATCCACGATCCAATGGTTTACAGCGTTCAGACGCATCGGTGCACTATATGCGCGTTCACACGGTAGCAAAGCTCAATGTCTCTCTCTCCTCTCGCTGGCGATTCTCTCTCTCTTCTTCGATCTTCCATTTCTGGTCGTTTTAAGCCGCCAAACCACCACAGAAAGGTGCATCGCCTCCTCTGAAGCAAAACCCCAGCTGTTTTACACGTTTTCACTGCCAAATCTGGCCGGAAAAAGGCCGCGACAGAATCGGCCAACCAGAGCTTCAAGTCGATGACTCTCCTTCATCAACCATCAATGGCCGTCGAGACCACCACCATCAGAATCCTCGCCCTCAGATCTACCAGAATCTACTATTTGTTTGTTGGAATCTTGCCGAAAAATTTCGCCGCCTCCAACAGTAGCCGCGCGTGAGCCATACGCGCCGCCAGTGACATTTTTGTAAATTTCTGATAAAAGGGTATTTCAGTCTTTTACCTATACAGTGGCCCTCAAGTAATTGTTTATGATTTTTTATGGTATTTTTGATATTTTTATATATAAATACTTGTAAATTTTTTGTATGTAAAAGAAAAACAAAAATAAATTTAAAATAAATAACGACGCGGGTCTAACACCCATTTTATCATGTCATTGTTCATAGGTCAAAACCCGATTCTCAAGAATGGATATACCCATTTCTCAACGATATTAAAATAATTTTTGTTTTATAAAATAAATATTATTTGTCGACACGTCTCTTTTATTTACAAAAAAGGACCGATGTCAAAAATTTAAATACCAAATATGAATTATGTCCATTATTATTTCTTTTGATAAATCAAATGTAACTCTCCTTTTTAGGGACAAATGTCGATATTTTAGACAAAGTCTCCTAGTTTTAGGGACTGATGTCATTTTTAACGTGTCTCCTATTTTTAGGGACCGGCGTTAACCATCTTAAAAAACTAGCAAATAAGCTCAAAATATAATAGCATTTGTTTCAAATAAAAAACACACAAATAAGGGTAACCTTTCTCTAAAAGGATGTTTTAAGGGTGGTGTCTACCTTCCCTTAATCATAACTAACCTAGTACCTGAATCTCTAGGACTAGTGTCTAATTTTGGATTTCTAGTTCCCTCAAATTACTAGATGGCGACTCCAATAAAATCTTTATTTCCCCTAATCAAGAAAAAAACAACTATTCTTTTTGTTAAACAAACAACAAAAAAGAGTGGAGCCGTCGCCCGACGTCGGATAGCGACAGAATGACGACTCCACTGGGGAAACAGGGTTAAACCAACTGCTTGTGTTTGCTTTTCATATGCTTTGTCTTATTGCTATTTATTTTATTTGTATTATTTATTATTGTAATTCTTTTCAATTTTTCATATTGCCACATGCATGCATGATATTTATTTGTGTATTCACACACTTCACGGTGAACCTATAAAAGCTTTGGACCCGAGCTCGTCCTTTTTAAGATTAGAAAAGAAAGATTCAAGTGACAAGTGTGACTTATGTCCACTAATGCTCATTTGGACTTTCACTTGGATCGTAACTCATCCTATGCAATGGGTATTATGGAATTTTTTCCCATACTCATGTTGCATAAGGTTAAGAGGCCGATTACTTCACGAGTAATTTGGACAATCTAAGAACCAAATAATTTCTTTAAGGATAGAATAAACTGAGCCAAACCTTATGAGTTAAATCCTATCAAGTAGGACATACCCTTTAAGACACAAACAAATATCAATACATTAACATACATTTTTATATACATTCCATATTCTTATTATATCTCCACCGATCCTTATAGGAAGTGTGAGATGGAAAAAACCAATACTACTGAGGAAATTTTTACTAGATCAGATTTATGGCATCAAATATCTTCCCTAAATCGGTCCAAGTTCCTGTAGGTTTGGAGTCCTTAGTGAGAACTTTCTTAAGAGAATCTGATTTGGTCTGTTCCTCATAATAAGTTAAAGGAAAACCTGAAACAAATAACAAGCATGCATCATCCATATGACATTTTGCATCCATTTGTGCATTTCATTCATTTCACTTGCATTTATTTAGGTTGAAATATAGGTCCCCTAAAAGACCATAAAATTCATTACACTCGACTATGAAGAAAGATAATGGAGAACGAAGAAAGAGCACATCTAGAGGCTCACTATCAAAGGGAGTTGGAGAGCATGAAAAATGATATCGCATGACTTACAAGTCTACTCGAGCAGACCCTGGTATCCAAGTCTGGAGAGGATACCTCTACTTAGTTAGCAGTTGTAACTCCATTTATATCTACGCCAGTAGCTCCTTTTGTATTCACTTCTTAAAATTTAGGGGCAAATCCTTCTTTATTTGAACAGCTATTCATTACCAATGTTCCACCAGTACAAGTGCCGATTGTAAACTTGACAACTGATGGCTCACATAGGATGAGATACTCTAAACATGTTGATTATGATAAATTGACTGCTTTAGAAGAAAGATTGAGGGCAGTCGAAGGGGCAGACTTATATGATCCCGTTCATGCTGCAAAGATGTGTTTAGTCCTAAATGTAGCTGTACCCAAAGAATTTAGGGTACCAGAATTTATCAAGTATACGGGAACTGAATGCCCAGTCACTCATCTTAAATCTTATTGTAATAAGATGGCAGAAGTGGTGAATGATGAGAAACTTCTCATCCATTTCTTTTAAGACAGTCTTTCTGGATCAGCGTTAAGCTGGTATACAAGGCTAGATAATACAAAGATCAAAAAGTGGAAAGATTTGGTCAAAACTTTTGTGGAGCAGTATAAATTCAACATGGAGGTAGCCCTAGACAGGTCAAGCTTGTTAGTCATGGAGAAGGGAAACAAAGAGACTGTAAGAGAATACACTTTGAGATAGCGTGAAAAAGCATCTCATGTGCAACCCTCTTTGTTAGAAAAAGAAATGGTCACTCTGTTTTCCAACATTTTTAAATCTCCTTACTTTGAACACCTAGTGGGTAGTTCAGCTCAGCATTTCTATGATGCTATAACTATTGCTGAGAAGATAGAACAAGCAATAAGAATTGGGAGAATGTTAGAGCCTATTGAGAAGAAAGGCTTTACTAGGAAAAAGAAGGATTCCGAGGTGAACAATGTGGAAGGAGGGTACAAGGGTAAGAAAAAAAATTACCATCACTATAACTTCCAAATACCTACCCAACAAGTTGCAAGTGTAAACTTCACTAAACCTTTCCCTACCAACCAACAAAACCAACCAAATGACCAACAAAGTAACTAGATTGTTAATCCTCCAAGAAAGAATTTTCAAAGAACCCAAGAATGATTGCCACCATTACCACTTCACTTGGGAGAAATGTACTCGAAGTTGTTGAGTATTGGGCAAGTGGCCCCTGTTCCCTTAACCACACTACAACCTCCATACCCAAATTGGTATAAGCCTGATATGACATGTGAGTATCATACTGGCATTGCTGGGTATAACATTGAAAGCTGTAACGCATTTAAAAACAAGCTTCTGCAATTAATAAAAGCTGGATGGATAACTTTTGATGATGCACTAAATGTGAATTCCAACCCTTTACCCAATCATGCTACAAGTAGTGGAGGGGTGAATGTTGTAGGAGTAAAGGGTAAGAAGGAAAGAGCTTTGAAGGTTTCTATGGAAAAACTGTATGGTATGATGGTATAGTTTGGATATTTATCTGATTTTGAACTAGTAATGAATGGAAATAATTATTGTAATTTTCATGGCGAGGTGGGACATCATATTGATGATTGCGAAGAATTTCACCAAGAAGTGAAAAGGATGTTGATTTTCGGCATGATACGGATAGAAAGTGAAGAAGAAAGCAGTGAAGTTGGGATGATAGGCCATCAGGAGAAAAAAAAAAAGAGGTTTGTAGACTCTAACCAACTGTGGGTGGTCCACAAAAACTAATCCTAACCAAGCCTGTATGCACCAATAATGGAAGTTATGGCACAATGCCTTACAATTATAGGTATGCTTTCAACATTAAAAATCCTACTCCTATCTTCCATACTGAAATCGATGGTTTAACTCAAAGTGGTCGATGTTTTACACCAGAAGAATTAGAGAGGTAGAGGAAAGCTAAAGAAAAAGAAACAGTTGATGCTTTTAAAGATATGGAAGTGAACAAACCTATAAGTGAAGAAGAGTCTAATGAATTTCTGAAGTTGATGAAGCATAGTGAGTATAGTGTGATAGATCAGTTGAAGAAAACTCCTGCTAGAATCTCTTTAATGTCACTTATCTTGAGTTCTGAGTTACACCGTAAAGCATTGCAAAAGGTGTTGAATGAAGCATATGTGCCACAGGATATTACTCAGGATACAATGGAACATTTGGTAGGAAGAATTCAAGCCTCCAATTACTTATACTTCACTGAAGATGAGCTAGACCCGGAAGGGACTAGGCATAACAAACCCTTGTATATCACCGTGAAATATAAGGACTGTCTGATCGGCAAAGTGCTTGTGGATAATGGTTCAGCTTTGAATGTGCAACCAAGGCATATGCTAGATGAGATGCCAATTGATGCTACTCATATGAGGCCAAGTACTATGACAGCTAGAGCATATGATGGTTCCCCTAGACAGGTGATAGGAACCATTGACATTGAATTGTTTGTAGGGCCTCAGATGTTTTTGATAACCCTACAAGTGATGGATATCCATCCTTCGTATAACATGTTATTAGGAAAGCGATGGATACACACTTCTGGGGTTGTGACATCATCTCTACACCAATGTCTGAAGTACATTATCAATGGTACTCTAGTGAAAGTTAAGGTAGAAGAAGCCTTGTCCATGATAAGGAATATGGCGGTCCCTTATATTGAAGCAGAAGATTGCAAAGATGGAAATCTTCATGCCTTCGAGATTGTGAACACCGAATGGGTACCAGAGAATACGGTGTTGAGAAGACCAGTTATTTCTGATACTGCTAGAATGATAACTAAATGCTTTTTAAAACATGGGCTACCATTCCAGAATGATCTAATTGCTGGAAATCTTAAAAGAGTCAACATGATGAAAATTAAGGCCGCTGATCAGAGGTTTGGGCTTGGCTTTAAGCCTAAAAAAGATGATCACAAGAGAGCTGCTAGGATAAAGCCAGAAATAAGGTTGGTCAGAATAGAAGGAAGAAAGCCAGAGGAAGAAGACATTGTAATCCCACATATCCATGTTTCTTTTCCAAAGTCAGCATATGTGATGAAACCTGAAAACATGATAGAAATCTTGGGACATAAACTTGTTGTCATGAATATCAATAATGTAGAGGAAGGTGAAGGGAAAGGCTGGAATTGTGATGATGAGCAAAAAACAACAAAAGAAGATGAATTGTTACCTCAGTTAACTGTCCATGCTCTAGAAGAGGCTTCAACCAGCGCCTTTGTGCGAAAGCTTTTAGTTGAAGAAGTATTCCAGAATTGGGAGACTGAAGAAGCCCCAGTTGTTTTCAAGAAGTAATGATTAAGCGTCTACTTATATTTGCTTTTATATGCTCTGTGTGCTTTGCATTGTAGTTTACTTTGTGTTTTTATACCTAGTTGGAAATCTTGGCTCAAGATGACAACATAAGGTCTTTTCATAATTGTTGAGCCAACTTTTAAAATATTATTGAGATTAAGCATTTTCATCAGCATTTGTTATCTTCCTTTTGTTTTGTTCGCCTACAAGATATGCATTCATACTAAAAACACCTTCCGCTTTCAGGAATTCTGAAAGTGAATCCTCCATAAATCCACAAACATATTGCATTGAAAAGGAATGGCCAAACTTTGATAAGGATGAGATTGCAATGGATGAAGAGGAATGGAAGGAAGAGTTTGCTAGACGGGTAGAACAGTCGGAGCATGCTCGAAAACCTGCAAAGGAAGAATTAGAGGTGATAAATGTAGACACTGAGCAAGATAAAAGAGAGCTAAAGATTGGAACTCTAATTACTACAGAAGAAAGATGCAGTTTAACCTCACTACTCCAAGAGTATATCAATGTGTTTGCCTGGTCTTATACAGATATGCCTGGTTTAGACATTGATATTGTAATACACAGATTGCCTTTGATAGAAGGATGTAAACCTGTTAAGTAGAAATTAAGAAGAACTCGCGCCGGATATTGTGCTCAAGGTCAAGGCAGAGATAGAAAAGTAGTGGGATGCCGGTTTTCTAGAAGTTATTAAATATCCTCAATAGGTATCTAATATAGTGGTAGTACCAAAAAAGAATGACAAAATCAGAGTATGTGTAGATTTCAGGGATCTAAACAAAGCTAGTCCAAAAGATGATTTTCCTTTGCCTCACATAAACGTCCTGGTAGACAATGCAGCTAGGAGTTCAACTTACTCCTTCATGGATGGATTCTCCGGTTATAACCAGATTAAAATGGTTGAAGAAGATAAAGAGAAGACCACTTTTGTCACACTAAGGGGAACATTTTGCTATAAAATGATGCCATTCGGGTTAAAGAATGCTGGAGCCACATATCAAAGGGCAATGGTGACACTTTTCCATGATATGATACATAAAGAAATTGAAGTGTATGTGGATGATATGATTGCCAAGTCTAAAAATGAAGAAGATCATGTTCAGGTTCTAAGAAAATTATTTGAAAGACTAAGGAAGTATCAGTTGAAGCTGAATCCTTCAAAATGCTTGTTTGGGGTGAAGTTTGGAAAGTTGCTTGGATTTGTGATAAGCAATAAAGGAATAGAGGTCGATCTTGATAAAGTGAAAGCAATTCAGGTTATGACAGTTCCTAAGACCGAGAAAAAAGTAAGAGGCTTCTTAGGACATTTGAATTACATCGCTCGATTCATATCTCAGTTAACAGCAACATGTGAGCCAATTTTTAGATTACTTTGAAAAAAGAACCTTGGTACATGGGACAAATATTGTCAAGAGGCTTTTGATAAAATAAAGCAATATTTATAGAATCTACCTTTGCTAGTGCCACCTGTGCTTAGAAGACCTTTGATCTTGTATTTGACAATTACTGAGGTAGCAATGGGTTGTGTGTTGGGACAACATGATGAGTCTGGAAGAAAGGAGCAAGCTATCTATTATCTGAGTAAGAAGTTTACCGATTGTGAATCTAGATATACTATAATTGAGAAGCTATGTTGTGCTCTTGTATGGAGTACGAAGCGTCTTCGACAATATATGTTGTATTATACCACCTGGTTGATCTAAAAAATGAATCCTCTTAAATACATCTTTGAGAAACCCTACTTGTCAAGCCGAATAGCAAGATGGCAAGTAATGTTGGCTGAGTATAACATTGTATACAAGACAAAAAAATATGTAAAAGGAAGTGTAATTGCTGATCATCTAGCAGATAATGTTATCAAAGATTAAGAGCCTTTGAAATTTGACTTCTCGGATGAGGATGTGTTGATAGTAGAAGAAGACAAAGAGAAGAATGATTGGTGGATCATGTATTTTGATGGGGCAGTGAATGTTTCTGGTAATGGAGTAGAGGCTGTGATAATCTCACCTAACAAGAAGCAATATCCCATCTCATTCAAACTACAATTTGAATGCACTAACAATACTGCTGAATATGAGGCTTGTATCCTTGGATTAGAAGCTGCTTTGGAGATTAAAATAAAGAAGCTTGATGTCTATGGGGATTCAATGTTAATAATCTGTCAAGTGAAAGGCGAATGGCAGACCAAGAAAGAAAAACAGATACCATATCAATAATATCTCTCGAAACTGACTGAGGGCTTTAATGAGATAGATTTTACCCATATGGGAAGAGACAAAAACCAGTTTGCTGATGCTTTGGCAACCTTAGCTTCTATGGCCAAAACTGATTATGGAATCAGGGTACAACCAATCTGCATTAAGATTAAAAATTTTTCAACTCATTGTTGTTCAATTGAAAGAGAAATAGATGGGAACCCATGGTTTTATGACATCAAACAGTTTATCTAATATCAAGAGTATCCCTTGGGGGCATCTAAAGCAGATATGAAGACCTTGAGAAGGTTAGCTCTGGAATTTTACCTAGATGGAGAAATTCTATATAAAAGGTCATTCAATGGAACTTTACTAAAATGTCTAGATGAAATCGAAGCTAAGGTAGCATTGCAAGAAATTCATGAAGGAATTTGTGCAACT